AGATGCAATCCTCAAACCTGTTTTATGGTTCGGTATGGGTAGTACAACTAATACTGACAGGATTTTACATTGAAAGTCACAACAGTGCACAGCTGAATTATTTCATCACTTCATTTATTCCATACATTTGACAGTAGTCAGAAAATAATGAGCTCCATAATGACACAGGAGAAAACACTGGCTTTACCAGACTATGTGAAAACTTGTAAAAAATGTGGGTTTTATTTCAGGAAAAAAAAAAAAAGAGGCAAGAATTTAGTTGACTACACCATTTGAGTTTGTATGGTGTAAACAAAGTAGACAGCAATACCAATTAAGGAAAAAATTAAAAAATTCCTAAGATGCTTGATCCCTTAGTTAAGCCACAGCTCTTGCCCTTTTTGCTTGTAGTCATGGGATGTGTAAACACAGTACGATTCAGTATGAATTACCAGACGAACCTCTAAAATACCTGCTTTGTCTTGACACCCCACCAAGACAGTGTCACTTGTGGACCATGAAGTGGGATGGTTAGAATGTTACAGCTGTGTTCTATTTGGCAACCATCCTGGCTGCCTAAAGGAGAATTTAATCAGTAAGAACTCTGTACTCAGATGCTTCCAGGACCTGATGTTATATCACTGTCCTGTGCCACAGAGATAAGATAGTTCAGAGTTAATATCTCTGTTTTCTTTCCTGTGGGTTCTTGGTTTCACTTGATCTGTAATATACGCCCTTAATTCCTATTGCTTCTGTAGCCATTTTTAGAAACACAAATATTACAGAGCCCTTAATGCATAAATTTCTATATTCATTCTATAAAAATAGAAATAGGGAAAATGAAGTCAGCAAATTCATGCAAGTAAGGCAAATTGCGTTAAAAATTAAAACATGCACTTACCTGAAAATGAACAAGTGCCTGGGGCAGCTTGCTGGGGTGTCATCCTCATAGGAGATCAAATTATTTTATTATCCTTCAGTGTTGTTCAAAGGACTTTTTCTCTTTTTTTTTTTTTTTTAATGCCCTCTAAGAAGGGGCCTCATTCCAATAATTGTATGTTCTTGAAGAAAAGGATGATGAAGTTCAATGGCAGGTATATTTAGATTGGGAAATAGTCCATTAGAATAGCCATGAAGTGAAAGATAGAATATTTTTACCTGTATGTACATATCTGCATCCATATGTATATACTAATTCTTTTCTGAGTAATATGAATGTTTCTTGGTGTTTTATTCTTGTATGATGTGAGGGAAATTAAAATATATTTATAGAAAACCTCAAGATAAATTATTGAGAGTTTTATCCTTCTAGTTCTGCCTTTTAGCTCCAGTGAGAACACAAGAATTTTTTTCCTGATGATTCCATATTTATCAGGATTCACACCTTCACAGTCATGTTCTTATAGCTTTCTTCAGGGAAGTCTTCTAATGCTCTTCATTTTATAGGAAATCATTTGACTGTCCAGAAAGTCCCTGTCCTAATTTGTTGTAGTTAAATTTTATCTTAATCTGCTTTAACAGCAGGCTGACTTGCCAGATCTGTTTTTTTATTTTCGTCTCTTTTTATCATTCAGTCCGTGAAACTGCTGCATTCTCAAATCTGACCCCAGGGACTCCAGTTAAAATATCCTCACATCCTTGGCAACGTCTCTCTCACCTCCTTGGAATATTCTTAACACTAAAAATGATACCACGTATCCCTGCCTACCAGGTACATAAAAATCAACAGAATTTAGCTTCCAATTAAAAATGTTCCAATTTAAATAGTAAAATCGTCTTTTCCCAAGGAATGGAGACATGGCAGTCTTTCCCTGTGCCTAGGACTCGAGTTAGCAGTTGGAATGCTGGAGTCAGCGTTTCATTCCATGAGAGTGAATAACATCAGATCTCCAGAGATTTCTTAACTGACCTTCAAAACACAAAGTCTAGCTTCCAGCAAACTTAAAGTAAACATATTACTCTAGAGATTAGGATCAAAGCACAAGAAAAACATTCTACTTAACTGTGTGGCACTTGTACCATTACTGTTTATTGGAGAAAGGATAAATGGTGCTGGGAGAGACAAGATTCATCTTTTTTGCATTTTCTAATGGTAAAAGTAGTTCTCAAAGGTTGCCCATACCTTGGCCAAGAGGTTTGCAAAAATCTTCATTCTTTAGCATACCATTGCTGCTTCATTCCCAAATTTATCATGATTCATAGTCAAACTGAAGGTTTTTCTAAAGAAAACTCTTGGGCAACTTGAACATTTTATCAGAGGACACTCTCAGGCTTTGACTCTGTTCTTGGGGGTACCTTTTTAAAGTTCTTAAGCAACAATTCTCATCTGTAGAACAGAACTAATAGCACTTTGCTCCCATATCCATATAGGGGTTTAGAAGGATAATTATGTTACAAATTCAGTAGTTCTGAAGTATTATAGTAGTGGGTCTTGTTTGTGCACACGACGTGGGCTTCCTGGAACAGACTGACTTCCTGGAGAAAAAAGCAATAATCAGGAGAACCACTTGCTAAAGAAACTTACTTGGTATGCAGAGTTTTTGATAACTTAAAAACCTGATTGACCTTCATTAGAAGTTAAAAACGGAGATATTTCTACAGATATGGGAAGCTATTTGTTGGTGAGGTTTGCACAATAAAAATGCACAATAAAAATGCACAATAAAAATGCGTTATAAGTAACAAAACTTTTCATGAATGCCCCATTTGGATTTTGTTGTTTAGGCTGAGGTGGAACTCTGTCAGGAAGCAGGAGTACTGATCCAGCAAGGAGGGGATCAGTAAGGTGGGTCACTCAGGGTTATCTTCTAAGACAGTTCATTATTTAATTCCCACTAAAAAAAGGAATTAAAATCCTCTGAAACCCAGTTTCAAGCCTGTCCTGTGATCTTGATAATGGAGCACAGTTAACCACAAACACTCCTTGATTGTGTCCTTAGGCACCAGTTTATACTTCTTTCCCGAAACAGAGCAAAATGCGCAAAACTTAACCTTGACTTTGGTCATGACTGTGATTGTGCATTAAATGCACTGAGCTCTGCCTGGTTTTTATGTGCCATGTTCTGTAAATGTACAAGCTGATGGATGTAATTTTCTCTCTACAAGTGTGTTCATTTGTTTATTTGTTACACATTCAAATCTCTGATCTTAAGGAAATGGAAGTCCAGATTTAAGCCCTGTTTTATTATTTTTCCAAGGATATCGCATAAAACACATCAGAAATATTTTTAAGAAAGCATGTTTCCCACTGATCTGAGTTCCAGATTATTTTATTTCCTTACTGCACCCTGTCTTGGCTGACGCAAATATTAAGGGCAGTAAGAAATACCGTATATCAATTCAGCTCTAAAGATTTTCAGTTTACAGGAGCAACAAGTTTTCCCATCAAGTAATTACTTCTGGTCTGAAATAAGTATGACAGCCTGTCTTCCTGCCCCCTTTCCACTATTTTACTAGTACACCTCCCAGAACAGAGTAATAAATGCCTGACCTTATGCACTGGTGCCAATGGAAACCTGCAGTAATTGTTTTTTTCTCACAGCTCATTTTGGTTTCGAGCTTACTGAAGCAGAAACCCAGAAAAATATTTTATACCTTTTTAAAACTGAACCATGGTTAAAAGACAGTCAGTGAGTGTATAAAAACAAATTATGAGGGTGTGACTCTAAGTGGACTAGATATAGGCTTTGTCATGGATAAGAACTCCCTCTAATTTTGTCTTCTGTATGTTCTTCCTTATTCTCAGGCTCTGCATCTGGTTAAGAGAAATTAAATTGTTCTGTTATTCAAAGTACAAAAAATTTCAGCTGCCCAAAGTCACTGACATGTAAATACTTTAAGAGACCTTCCCCAGTTGTTTTTAACTCCTCTAAAATTCATGATTGCTGATGCTGGCTGCAGCTACACCCATTGAGTTTAATGAAGAGTGCAATCCAATGAGCCCAGCAGATGTTTTTGGGGTTTCTTCACTGTGAACTTTCTGGTTTCTTTTTCCTTCATTTCCAAGAATCAAGACCCAATTTTAGCAGACTGATGATGATCCAACCAGCAATAAGAAGACTGAAATAAGTCTTCATCTCCACAATCCTTAAAACAATCACTATTGCAGATCTATAAGCAGCTGAGATTCGGATGTTTGTCCGAGCCTCTTTAGCCCAGAAAACTGAAGGATGGGAAATTCACACAACTGACTCTCAATAGACTTGTGGTATTTCCTGCACTTGTCCAGCACAGAAATATAAACTATCTCACATTATTTTGGTACTGCCAGCATGGAATCCAGCAATAAAGAAATATGTAAGAAAAAACAATCTTTTCCTATAACAACAAGGGAAAATTTAAGTTCTGATTTTGTTTGACTTATGATTTAGTTTATTTTTCTTTATATTTTACTCTTTTGCTCTCCTGGGGTATTTGTGTGACCTTACAGTGCCACCAAACATTAGCAGTACAGCTGGGATAATGCAAAAAACAAGTCGTATATCCTGGAGTCCCTTGTCTTCCTTCTGTTGGATCAGGCAGATGTGGGGGTATTTTGAAAAGAAAGGAATGAGCAGAAAGACAGGAGTATCAAGAGAAGGTCAGGAAGACTCTACAGAGTGCCTGTCTCTTCTCTTTGGCCTTTTAACTCTGCAGTTGGTTTCATTTCTGAATTATTGCTTCTATCTCCATTACCTGACTTCTGGATGAACCATATCTCAAAATCCAGTACATAGTGCTGATAATGCCAGTAGTTGTACATAAATCTGAAGATGGCTTCATTTTCAGGTGTCTGACCTGAAACAATGCTGGAACAAGCTGAAGCAGCCCTCTTGCTCCCCATCATGTAGGTAATACAATTTGCAGTGTATGTTGTTAAAGGCTACCATTTTATTGTAGAACAAACCAGCATTAAGAAACCTAGGACACTGCGAATGACCAGGAAATGCCTGTCTAACTTTCACAGGTAATGCAGCACTACTTGGTATTTGAGCAAGCAAATGGTCATGCACTGAATCACCTGATTTTTCCATCTTTTGCAGATCACGTGGAGGGCTCCAGCAGGATGACCAGCAGTCACACAGACTGTCATTTCTGCCTGCAGTCTCTCCGTGGCAGGAAATATGCACTAAGAGATGAAAATGCTTACTGTGTTCCGTGTTACGACAGCCTGTACGCCAACCCCTGCGAAGAGTGCAAGAAACCCATTGAGTGCAGCTCCAAGGTAAAGATTTAGCTTGCACTTTTTGTTCCTTGTTAAATTATACACAAATCCAACTCTTTAATGGAAGATTTGGTATCCAGCCCTTTGCATATCCCTGTCTTGGTGAAGAGACCTAAGCACAGCTGTTGTGCATCCACAGACAGCAGAGTGAAACAGTGCTATTTCCCCTGAATGGGAAAGCTCTGGGATCAAAGGTGAGGAAATCTGCACATGCATATACCCCAAGCATACAGCAAGGCTGTGGTGTATGTGTGGACCTCAGCTAGGCTCCATCCTTCACCTGCAGTCACTCACTGGCAGCAGAGGCTGCACAGTGCTGGAGGGGTGATAAGGTGGGTGGTGTAATTCAGTGTATCAGATTGATTGACACCTTGGAACTTCTGTGAGATGTTCATTGAAAAAATATTTTGAGCATTGAATAAATTACTTTTCCTGTAGGTGTTGACAAGCAAATGCCAAGCTGAGAAGACATGTTTATAATTTGCATATTCTCTCTCTCTCTCTTGGAAATGAAATATTTTTTAATTTCTGCTAAATTCTATGTTTACTTTGCTGATGTCACAGATGGCATGTTAGCAGCAGTGTTCCTGACCTTGTCCTTCCTTTCACCTCTCCATATTTTGCAATATCAATAATTCAAGTTCCTCTTTGATATTTGACACAGTTTCTAGTACTCCATACTTCAATTTAGAACACGTATATTCGACTTTGAATTTTAAGGTCAAATGAAACCTATCAAAAAGTACTTGTGTTGCCAAGTATAGTTTGTACTGGTCGCCTTCTCACTATGCTCTCTTTGCCTATGTTCCTTAGAAATAAAAAGACAGAAAGTTATTAAAATAAACCTTTTGGAAGGCTTTCCCAGCCCAGGCACTTCAAAGCACGTCATCTGAGTGCAGGAATCATCCAAAGAAAATGCCGATTTGGATGAAGACACTTCTCAAACTCTCATCACCCTTTTACCCACAGCAACATAGCACCAGTCAGGTTCACCAGGAGGGCACATGCTTTGGGTTCACTTAATTTCACCTTTAAAATCAAAAATTAAATAAGTGACAGGATTACAGTTGTTGAAGATCATAAACAAAAAGCCATGTCTTTGGACTGAGTGGAAGGAAAAAAATGGGAGAAAAAAGCAGATGTGGTAAGAAAGGAGAGAACCTGGCTAGAGACATCTAGAAAAGTGACACACAGACATCTGCAGCTGATTGTCTCACCTCTGCCAAGGGGCTAGATCTTGGTTTTCTTCCTCTCCTTTTCACCCAGTCTTTGCCTCGGGCTGCTCTGGGCTGACAGCCTAGTTCTTGCAAGGTTCAGAGTGCTAACTAATGCAATGAAAGTGCTCAGCACATCCTGAAATGAAGCATGATATTTCTTTCATTTTTAGCTCTTTAAAAGGCAGGGGCATGATAAAGGAGAACAATGAGATTGGATTTGTGCCCTTTTATATTTCTTACTTATAAAAGAGCCCTGGAAGGGTTTATTTTTTAAGCTGGGAGGGTTTTTTGGAGATGAATTTTCCCCTTACTTTTCTAACTGTGGAAAAACTAAATCTGTTGTTTGGTCTTTTTTTAATTCTTAGTCAGGATCTCCTACATATACTGTTAGCTCTTTCATCCCTTAAGCCCACTGAGTCTTAAACAAACATTTTTTCTGCCAAGTTTTCAGGGGGATTTTTATCAGATATAAACAAAAGCAGTATTTTTTTAAAATCTTACTAACAATTGTTTTGCTCTCAATGAGATTTTAATTGCTTGTTTTCTGACATAACTTAGCACTATGTCAGCTGGAAGAAGAAGTGGTAACATTGAAAATACATAAGGTTCATTTCAAATTCTACAGAATATGAGCTTCCTCTCCAGTGGTTTGTGCACATTAAAAATGTTGATCACTTGTTTCCCCTTGAAAGACAAATGTAATATACGATTCTTCCAATAAAAACATACCTCTATGTTACATAAGGAAAGACATTCTGCCAAAGCAGCTCATAATGGCCTTTGCAAGAGGTCTGCACAAGAGTGTGGCGTTGAGTGCCTACAACTTTCCTGAGCACACTTCTGGTTGGATCCACCACTGCAATGTTCCTTGGTTTTCGTTTTAGTTCTGGAAGGAACTGAGGGATAAAAACACTGTAAATAAATGTTTTGATTAACATGAACTTACTTTCTCCAAGGATCTGGCCTACAAAGGTCGTCACTGGCATGAGGGGTGCTTCAGGTGTGCCAAGTGCAGTCGCTCACTTGTGGAGAAACCATTTGCTGCCAAGGACGAGGTCTTGCTGTGTACTGACTGCTACTCCGATGAGTATTCATCCAAGTGTTTTCACTGCCAGAAAACCATTATGCCTGGTAAGACAACAGGGGCTCTTTGCTGAGAAATTGAACCACATTTTTAATAATAACCACCTCCTGGAATAACCAAGCTACAAGGTCCTTGACTTTCAGAGCAGCTTGGAGGTGACTACTCTACCTTTGTGTGTAGCACTCTCCCAGCAGCGGGGAGAAGGCAGGCAGACACATCTCATCTATCACTGACGGGTCTTAGGAATCCTTATAAAAATATTAAGAGTTCAGTGCAGGGTAAAATGTGTTCATGTGGTGTCCTTGGTTCTGCTGCAGTTCTTAGGAGGCATATCCCACTGTGAGCATAGATAGACAAACTGAGCTATTGTGTGCAGGAGTGCCAGATTAGACAAGTCATTGACATGTTTTCCACATTGACCAGACCCTGTGCTTGTGTTCTTTATACCAGTGCTTTCACTCAGCATACAAATTTAAACAAAAATTTTGTTTAAATTGTCAAGACAATTTGCCTTCAAATCATTAGCAGCATTTTTACTAAAATTAATAAAAGTCCATTTTATAATACTGTCCATGTTTACAATAGGCTTACTTCCTGCCATTAGCAACCTTGAAAATTTGGCACTTTCCACTAAACTGCTTCTCAGCTTTTGATTGTGTCTGTTCAGGACATGCTCTAAACGTCATCGCTAAAACATCAATAAAGCTCATACAGCAGAGTGATTATCCAAAAGCTGCCTCTTCACAGGCATCTGAGAGAAGCCACAGCACCATTTGTTGCAAAAGGAAGCTGCTTGCTTAGGAAAATGTGTCCCTAACTTTTGGAACGGAGAACATCAGTAAATTTGTCAGTGACACTGGAATTTTATTTTTCAGTAAATCTTAATGCCAAACAGTAAGATCCAGGCTGTGCAAAATTATAGTCTTACTATTGCTACTAGATTACTCATGTTGTATTCAACCTGTAACACTACTTTGTATTTTTACAGTTTGTTTCCCTTTCATTACAAGTAAAATCGGCATTAGTGGAAACAAATATTGTAACAATATAGTTGTGTTCATTTTAAGGATTATAACCTGTTTAAATTGTATATAGTTTACAAAAATATTGTCAAATAGGCACACCTCACTAGATGTGATCAAAAAAGTGCCAGAATACACTCTGGTTTGCATTATTATCTTCTGGTGTATATCCACACTGCTTGTTTTGTCACAGAGTCTAAATCCTTGCAGCAAGTGCCTGAAGGTGTGAGAAACGGTGCAACAGTGGCATGGGAATGCCAGCCAGTCTCTATATCATTAAGCTCTTTCTCATCAGCATGCTAGCTCTGTGTTGAAAAGATCTAGTTGTGAAAGACAGTGAGATTAGCCTTCTGGTCCCTGGGATGAAGCTGAAAACCTTTTGTGTCTAAATACAACCAGTAATTTCTCCACTGGCCCTACAGTTCAGGAAACAGGTACAGTGGGATTAATCAGCAGCAATTTTCTTCTTTATTTGGAGAGGATGGTAAAGCACCTTGCACCTCTCTGTGCAGTCTGATGCTACCTACAGGTAGGAAGTTATGGATGGGGATCCACTGGAAAAATTGCTCCCAGATACATGTGTATATCTTAGACTTATGTTTCTATATCAAGATAGGACACCTGTACACAGAGATAAAAGCTCTGAAACTCCTCTGACAAACCTTTAACTGAGCAACTTTCTGTCCTTGTGCTGTATCAGAAGCATCTAGTAAAACAAGATAAAAAGAATTGCTGTTCTAGGACAGAAATGGTGAGCTATAGGAGAAGTCAGTGTAATGTGATGTATCACAGAAGAAAATATTTACTTTTAGAAAGTTCCAGTTTAAGCTGATGAAGATAAATAATGCATTTATAAGCAAAGGAGCCTTAGTTTAAGAAAGACAGAAGACAGGACAATAATAAATGTACTAAACATCCAACAAATTAATCTCAAATTTATAAAAGTGCTGCGTACCTGAACATTATCACTGAGTTGGCTGGTTTGATAGAAACTGAGCAATTCGAGCATAATCACAAAGAAGAAACCCCAGAAGATTCATATAAGAGTAGACTATAAAAATCATAGCTTAGGCAGCTCAGTACATCTTTTGCTAGATTATATGTCACTGAATGGGTTCTTGAAATTTCAGTGCATTCCTAGAAGCTCTATTAAATTGGAGATACCTGGATTGGATAATTGGAGATTAAATTGGAGATATCAGATTTCTTGGGTAATCTGATACTGAGGTAAAAGGTTTGAAACAAGAGCATTCCCAGCATTTAAAACTTATATTACAAGGCTACATCTGAGAGGATTGTTCACTTCATTGTTTTTTTTCAGGTTCACGTAAAATGGAATTTAAGGGAAGTTCCTGGCATGAATCCTGTTTTGTTTGCCAGTATTGTCGGCAACCATTGGGAACAAGACCATTAATCACCAAAGACAATGAGAATTACTGTGTGCCCTGTTTTGAGAAGCAATTTGCTCACCATTGCTATGCTTGCAAAAAGGTAATTAAACATACAGTGCAAAAATTGCCCTAATGAGATAATATTGCTCGTGGGAAAAAGGGCTGGATCACGTGAAACGTGTGGTGAGCTAAGAGTAAGAGCAGAGTCCCACTGACACTGGACACTGAAAGCCAACAGTGACAGTGTCTCCTGTCCACCCTTGCTAATCTGACTGATTATATCTGAAATAAACGTATTTGCCAAAACAAATGCTTTGGGCTTCTTTAGTTATTGATTGTAATTTTTAGCAAAGGTTAAATGGAAAGTTGTGTAAAGCTCTTCTCTCCCAAAAATCTCTGATTTTGCCTTGGTAAATGTGCCTCTCTTTCCATTATTTTTTCAGATGTATTCATATGCATAACTAGCCACCTGAATTGAGCAAATCATCTGCAATCTTGGCTATTCTTTCTTGAAATGTATCAGCTATGTAGTATAACTAGCAGATGAAGTAACACTCAATTGTGGTAACACTACTCAGGGGTCCCACCGGTGCAATACATGATGATACCCTTGTGGGTACCTGAAAACTTGATTTGATTTCTTTTTTCCCCCAAGTACAGATAAATCAATCCTTCCCTCCCTCAATTTTTTTATGTTTTAAGATTGTCTCTTGTTGATGAAAATAATCAAAGCATCATAATATTCTAGTGTGATACTTTTCTCTAGGTAAATGTTTTAAGCTGCTTTTTATGGCAGAATTTTACTTATTCTTTAGTACCTGCATTGCTCTGGAAGCACTTTTTTTTATTGTTTTCACTTCATCAAATAACTTATAATTTCCTTTAGTTATGTAATGATTACTTGTAAACCTCTACCTCTAACAAAAGCTTTTAATTTCAGGAAAATATGCTGCCTACTTTTTTCTTCAGTAGTTAAACTTTAGAAAGTACTTTTATATATTCCCATGTCTCTACATCTAGTCTTTAATTTGCATTAAATGAACACTCTTACATGAAATAATCAGGATTTCTTTCTTATAAACTAAGAATGCAAACAGTCCCCCTATATAATAGCTAAAACCATTTTACTTCTGAAACTTGCATCAATTCCCACGCATGAGAATTGAGCCCAAAGTCATTAAATTGCCAAACCAAATCTTGAATTTTTGTCAACAATTTTTAGATTTTACTGGAAAAGCAAATGGAACCACAAAGTAGCCCAAAACTGGAATGTCAAAGATATCAGAAACTATTTAAATCACTTTATTCCTTGACATGACCCAGAAAATAAATTCTTTATTTTCCTGAAAGTATATTCCCCAGGGAAATTTGATGATATCTCTGTTCTTACTTAAGTTTCTTCAGCTTTTTATCCTCCTGTTCCAACAGTATTCATTCATTCATTCATTCATTCATGCATGCATTCATTCCCTATCATGCATTTGACTGGATAGCAGAAACACTATCTTACAGCTCATCTTTATAGAAATTTATCTGTACAGTCTCTCACACATTCTGTGAAAACAGCCCTTTACCACACATACAGGAGCCAAAGAACAACTGGAAATTTCCCTCTTCAGAAATAACCAGTGCAGAGCTGTGAGTGTATTGCTGGCAAAAAGAAGTTGATGACACTGATAAATGTGATTTTTTTCTTCTTCTGACCAAGTAGATCTCTTTTCTGTTTTGCTTCTGTTTCTTTACTGTCTTTTTTCCTCTTTAAAATACTGTTGCAGCTGAGAGACAGCAAAATACTGGTTAGAGATTAGCTATTATCTCAGCATCAATTCTCTCACATACAGCCTATCACTGAGAATTTCTCTTCTGAAAGCATGCCTGATTCTAAACACTTATATACAGTGCAATACAAAAATTTTCTTTAAAAGTAACATATTTATTACAAATGATGAGGTTATACTGTGATAGAAAATTGAGAATAACAAACAGTTATTCTGTTATAAAAATATATAGTTATATATATATATATATATAAACATATAAATTATATATATAGATATATAGTTATAAAGAGTAGCATGTGGAGTTCAACTGCAGATTCGTTAAATGGATAATCCAGATGAAAAACAGTTGATGTGACCACCCTCTTTTCTCTTGCACATAATGGAAGAGAGAAAGCAGGTGGAAGTACTTATGAAGGACTGGGCAATCCTTTGTGACTCACACCTTTGTTTCTTTGCTCTCTCCTTGTTTGTCCATACATTAGGTTATAACTTCTGGAGGAGTGACCTACCATGACCAGCCTTGGCATAAAGAGTGCTTTGTGTGTGCTGTGTGTAAAACTCAGCTGTCTAGGCAAAGATTCATTTCCAAAGATGAGTACCCATACTGCGTAGACTGTTTCAGCAAATTTTATGCCAATAAGTGTGCTGCTTGCAAGAAACCTATTACAGGTGAGTCTTGTCTTCTAAAGGAGACCAGACAGAAATGAATCATCAGTCTCCTCTCAAAGAAGACTTTCACTTTAGAAAAAAACATTAAAAATACTATCATCACAATGAAAGACTGAAGGAGTTAACTATCAGAGAGACTGTCTCTGTGTCACATGTCCTGTATCTTGCTAGGACATACTGATCACACATGTTCCCTAACTGATGAGGAGCTGTTTTATGTGCCCAAAGGAGCTCCTCCATTGCTTGATGTAGTGTTTTCTGTATTAAAATTCCTCCTTGAGAATATTAAAAAGATGCTTCTTTTTCCTCTTCCCAGGATAGTATACACAAGTCCCTCTGTGATTTCTTCAGTTCTGTTTTTAAATGCAAATGTGATCAAACTGAAAACAGATTAACTGCCTGCTGGTAAGGCACACCTGTCAAATTAGAAAGCTTGCCAAATGCAGCATGGCTCTATTTCATACATCCTTGTATACTTATGTATGATTTCTAATGTGACATGTATGTCACTGGTCTATGATATCTGAAGTTTTCTGGTGTTCTGCATTTAATCCTGTTATGTGTTGAAAAGAACTGCCTGATTCTTACAGGTGCATGCTGCATATGTCACTGGACAAAGAAATCGATGAATACTCAGTCACATGTGCATGATTAAAAATAGAAAAAAACCTACAAAATAACAACAACAAAAAAAATCAAATCTATTCAATTTCTTTCAGTCCATGAGATTTTATTTCAGATAATTCTGCTAGGAATCCCATTATCTGGTAATTTCCAAAATAATCCATCTTGAAGAAACTTAATTATTAAATTTCACTCAGAGTTGTGACTATACGTTTCAGCATATTGCAAGTAAATTTCATGGGGTTTGTTGGGAAGATCAGCAAACCTGGATGGACATTCTGATAAACCCATTGTGTCCAGATCTCATAAAGGGATATGCAAGCAAGCAACTTGTGGCTTTGCCTGAAATTTTTGCCACTGTTTAAATTTTAAAGTTGTTTTTCAATTCAGCCAATAAAAAATATTTCACACTACGCATTTCTGTTCATTTTTCCGATCACACATCAGAAAGTCATCTGTTGCATTACTGAACCATAATCCAGAAATAATGGATTCAGATCTTCCTTTTTTTACATACTCTCTTTCAGCTCTCGGAGGTGCCAAATACATCTCATTTGAGGAGCGTCAGTGGCACGGGGAATGCTTTAACTGCGTGAAATGCTCTGTCTCCCTGGTGGGCCAGGAATTCCTCACTCGGCAGGATGACATCCTTTGCCACAAATGCGGCTCGGCTTCATAGTTCTGTGGAGAGCTGTGCAGCTCTACAGCTTCACTATTCCCACTCTGCTGTAAGAAAACCAGATAAAAGGCACTACAGTTATTTAGTCATTCAAGTAATTTTGCAACAGCAGTTTAACTCCGTCCTAGCTCGCAACTGCTTATAAACAAAAATTAAACAACCGCCCCATAGTGCTTAATAAAACGATGCAGATAAGATTTGTATATATTTTAAGCCTAACTCGAGTATGTTTTCCTTGTAACACACTGCACTCTGCTGTTAGAATCTCAAAAAATTGTCTTTTATCACCTATGAACCAGAGAGGATTTAAAAGTCTGTCTGGCATATGAATAATGATGAGGCGTTAGCACTGATTCACAGATGCAGATCTTGGCAGGGAAAGCTGGGCACAAGCATTTTTCTAATGGATAATAACATTGAAGAGAGCACCTTGTAAATATTATATTCTTCCATACTTTGGGCAAAAAAGATGCTGAAAAAGCAGGCAGAAATTGTGAATAGGAGGTGCTTTCACTGCAGAGTCAGAGAGGGCCATTCAAAGGGACAATTCAATGGGAAATAAGGTCACTTCCCTTACTGGGATTGCTACCCAAAGAAGTCAGCCAAAACACTACACCACAGGTCCTTTCCCAAAACTGGGTAACTGCACTTAATTTTTTAGGCATAGCTGCTCTAGAACATACATAAACCCATATTTTCAGCTACTGCAAGAGGTAAGGATTGCCCAAGATTGAACAGTGCTGACATACATTTTCCCATAATCAATATGCCTTAAGACTTTTTCCACTACCTTTGCTATACCTTCAAATACAGGCCTAAAATATATATTTTTTTATTAGTTGACACAAGAGCCAATTCATACTGGTCCCTTTAATCTTGTACTTTCCTTCATTTAAAACCACTTTGCCAGCAATTGAAGCCCCGTTAAGGACCTTACATGCTTGGTCTTTGATTCACAGTTCATTCCTACGCTTGTAAATTCCTTCTTGTGGACAGCAGACTATAAACTCTCCAGAACCAATTCCTGATTCATTTCACCATTAACCACATGTGTTTTTAACAGTATGTCAAGAATTAGTAACTGTCATTGCAAGCCAAGCAGCTCTTGCTTGCAGTACAGGGCCTTAGTTTCTAGGTAGCCAGCCTTTATATCTACTTGCTGAGCTCCAGCACTCAAATATCTACTATTGAAGGGCAACTAGAACTGAGTTACAAACAGCTATCTTCTTCCATAATGTGTGTCACAGTAGCCTGGTTCGTGTACTGGGACACAGTGGATGGAGCAGTGATGTTAGGAATGGCAGGTTCTGCACTGTCCAGCAGAGTTTGTGTCCTCATCTCGCATGTATTTGAGTCATTCTTCTTTAGACTCTAACCTTGAGTACACAGAGTTATTTGGCTAACTTGGGTGGCTCTCATTCATATTGAAGATAGACACTACTTTGGGTAGAAAAGTGAAAAAAAAAAAAAAGAATATGTGTGCACGGCTAAGCCAGGGCAAAAATGCAGTGGCATGAAATCACCTATGGATTATGACTGACCAATGAGTACACAGCAGTCTGTTGTCAATCAATAAAATATTGATCTTTTGCTCTATGTGGGGTTAGTTTTTGGTTTTCATCTTCTTCTTTTATGGCAGCTTTTATGGCAGTCTAGAGTTTGAATAGTTTACATTTTTCATTTTACCCCAGCTTCTTCCTTTTCTATTTACACATCTCCTATGGCTGACACAGGTTCTTGGTAAGGTTTAGATTCCCATAAATAGAAATATATTTCATTGCCTTATATGTATAAATATATATATACACACATATACATACATACATACAAACACACAGACATAGTGGCTCACGGTTATGTATGACGTTCTAAAAATTTGCACTGTTAGTACATGTTAACGGTCTTAAATTTTTTAATTAAAATTATGAATCACCGTGTTTGGCCTTGTCTGTGTGGTGTACCTTTTGTTTGTGTGAAATAACATTCAGCACATCTCAAGAGTGTGGTTTGGGGCCTTTATTCAGTCTCCTCTCAAGAATCATAAATCTTAATTACAAATTGACGCAGGAATTACCAGGCAGCCTCCTAAGACATGGGGATGTCACAGGTCAGACACACTGATCATGATAATCCTAGTCTTCCAGCCTTAACATTTATGAAAATGAAATTCTTCTCTGACTCATCAACTAATTATATTTTTAGAAATACCAACTGAATTATTTATTTCTTCTGCAGTAAATACTGTACAGTCAAATCTGACACTGAGCATTTTCACTTCAGAATAATAGTAAGAAATAAATGTGATTGCTATAAATAGCCTGAATAAAAGTTATATTAGATAGCAAATTGTTATTTCCTAGTCTCTGACACCAGCTACCAATGCCTGAATATAAGTACAGTGATACTCTGGTGGTGGGCTGACCCTGGCTGGACACCAGGTGCCCACAAAAAGCCCCTCTATCACTCCCCTCTGCAGCTGGATAGGGGAGAAGAAACACTACTCAAGGCTCGTGGGTGTAAATAAGGAGAGAGAGACATCTCTCAGCAATTACTGTGACAGGAAAACAGTCTTGACTTGGGGGGAAAATAATTTGTTACCAATCAAATCAGAGTGAATAATGAGAAATAAAACATTTTAAAAACACCTTTTTCCCACCCCTCCTTGCTTTTCAGTCTTAACTTTATTCCTAAATTTTCTACCTGCTTCCCCCATAGTGATGCAGGGGGATAGGAAATGGGGGCTGTGGTTGGTTCAGCACAAACTGTCTCTGTTGTTCCTTCCTCCACAGCAGGAGAGCTCCTCACACTCTTTCCCTGCTCCAACATGGGGTCACTCCCAAAGGAGACTGTCCTCCATGAACTGCTCCAATTTGAGTGCATCCCACAGGCTATAGTTCCTCAAACACTGCTCTTGTGTCGATCTCCTACATGGAGTGCATCCCTTCAGGAAGAGGCTGCTCCAGTGGGTCCCCCATGAGGTCACAAAGTCCTGCCAGAAAACCTGTTCCAGCATGGGCTACTCTGTCCACAGGTCAACAAGCCATGTGTTGACCCAAGCTCCAGCAGGCAGAGGGTCACATTCTCCTTCAGGCACCATGTCTCTGGTATGGGATTCTCCAGGGGCAGAAAGCAAATACCAGCTCCACCATGGACCTCCATGAGTAGCAGGGGAATTTGCTGTGGTACCTGGACCACCTTCTCCCCCTCCATCTTTGCTGGCCTTGGTGTCTGCAGATCTGTTTCTCCCACATGATCTCACTCTTCTCTTTGGCTGCTGTTTCCACAGCCATTCTCCTTCCTCCCCTTCCCACCCTTTTCCAGTCTGGTATCCCAGAGGCTCTACCACCATCCCTGATGGGCTCAGCTGTGGCCAGCAGAAGGTCCAACCTGCAGCTAGATGGAATTGGCTCTGTCAGGCACGAGGTAAGCTTCTGGCAGCTTCTCACAGAAGGCTCTCCTGGAGCTCCTTGCTATCAAAACCTGGTCACACAAGCCCACAGGAATTCTGCACATTTTGGCTCTTTCATACTTTTTGCAGATGATACCAACTTGAATAGGTGCAGAGAAGGGCAGCAGGAGGAACAGTGTGCTGTCTCTGTGGAGGACTGTAGATCATGAAGGGGATAGGTGGCTACTGTAATTGTAGAGACTACATGTAGTTCAAGAACAAAGGCAACTAAACTCCTCAGCACTGGAAAATGGAAAACAGAAGGTGATATCTGCTGCTGAGCAGTGATGCTACAGGAGAGCCTCTTTCCAGAACAAAGAGGGGAAACAGCCATGTGGGCAGTTTTAATGTGGTGCCTGATCCCTGTGTTAAATGTCATATAGAACATGATTGCCTGGTATAGAAAAACAGTGAGAAAAAATCAACCTGATGATCAGCTTCGGTCTGTGTTTCTAACACTTGATTTATTGAAGGATGACCTGGATACAGACTTCAGCCCAATTCAATTTTCTTTAATAAACTTTGGAGGATGGAAAATTTGAGAGATTTATTTTTAAGTAAGCTTTTTAATGTCATATGTTTTTTTCTTTAACATTGTACTGTTTAATTTTAAAATATATCTAGCTCTTCCCTGTGTATGTAGCAGCCCAGATGGAAGATAATCACATTGCTTTTGTTACAATCAAGCTAAATTGCCCTGAGGTGAAGTGATGTCTCTAATGCCCTGGTTGCATCTCTGCTATACTCATAGTTAAACCAGGGGACCAGGAGGGAGGCTGCCCTTTGGGAGTGAATAGGTGCCCTATTACCTTCCTCAATATTTCAGTCTAAATTTTGAGTTCCTCAACCACTGCCTAATTGTCAGAGAACTACCCCAGACAAACATGCTTAAAATACAGTGACAAGCCATGAGATATTGTTATCTAGTGAACCTTTTATATCCATATTTCTGAATGTCACACTTCTTACTGAGGCAAGGTCATATTGTGAGAGCAAGGTATCAGCCTTTTCTTGGACAATTACTTTTAAAATCCAGGCAAGTTTTTGGTAGATGTTGCAGCAGGAAACACAGAGCAGTAGTAATGTTGAATCCCAAGGCCACTTCTGCATTTCCCAAACAAAGGTATGCACTCCAGAGTCATGGCTTGTGACGAAACCCAGACATTTTTCATTCTCTATCCTTGTGCCTCAGTTCTCCAGAGAGAAAATCTGTGAGCCTTGACTGGGGAAGAGCCAGGACATAGTCTGGCCATGTCAGTGAAGTAGATGTCACACCACAGCTTTTCTGCAGTATCTCAGCATGTGCAAGTTCAGCTGGTTACTGTACTCTACCAGTGGACAGGTACCAGGTTTTCTTCATGCTGACTGTGGCTCAGTGCTACCAGAGGAGTTTTATGAAGGGGATGGTAAGGTTTTGCAAGGAATTCTAAACTTGTGGTTTCAAACACTTCCTGGACCAGGCCTTCACAAGAAGGGCTGATGGAGGTTGTCTGTGGGTGTCTACATCTTCAACCCCAATGAATGGACCAGTAATTTCAACTTCTGCTCCAAGGTTTTATGAAAGTCACTTGATTGCATAGAATGGGTGTATTGTATTTTAGGAAGTAAAAACAGTTATTTTTATACAAGGACAAATAACAATAGGTGAAGGAAAGTAATGTTAAATGACTGCCTAAGTGGAAACTGAGAGATCATTTCTGTAAACAAAAAAGTTGGATGGAATCCAAATGTATAGGTAGAAAAAACTTGTTTACCAATCAAGGAGAAAAGCTGCACTAAATCCTCAACCTTCTTGTTAATAATATCTCAAAGAAAACATGTATATGTGCATGCATGCTCTTTCACCCTGGAACTGTCAAAGCTTGAATGGACTGAGTCATGGAAAACTTGGCAATTTAAACCAAAGTACAAAACACCTGGCATGGTTATAGACTACGATAACCACAAAGTTTCAGTTCATCACATTCAAAAGTACCATTATCTTGATCAAAAGTACCAGGTACAAGTAATTCAGTACAAGAGATAAAAGTACCAGATATGAATAGTTCAATACAAGAGAAAAGTGGTTTGGAGGTCAGACATGTTTCCACACATGGAAACCCACAGGTGTGTTGTCTAGATGGCAATGCACAGCTGCAGTGGAGGATCTAGAGATATCAGCTTTAACCTGGATCTTTTGGCTTCCCTTAGTTTTAGCAAGAACATTTGTCCAATAACACCCACTTAAACATTTCTGCAGGCTTTCATCTTCATTTTTCACACAAATCCTTACTGTAGCTTCTTAAAGATGAGGCCAGACATAAGCACAGTCACACAGACCTGCACAATGCCCACAAAAACCTAGATTTTCTCAGTGTAAAATAATTCCATGTCAGAACCACCACTGCACAACATTATGTCCAAGCTAATAAACCTTATCTCTGTCTTGAATACAATTCAATATCTGGTTTTATTAACTTGAGCCTCTGCTGTACATCTTTTACTGTCCTCTCCAGTAACATATTCAAGACTGTAGGCACTCACCTGATTCACTGCAGATTTTTCATAGCACCAACTGAATTGTAAGTTATTGAATATGAGAAGCTGCACTACCACCACATCCATGAAATATAGGAGCCATGAATCCCTTTCATGCATAGTGTGTGAGGCTTTGAGAACAAATTACATTAAATCAAACAAAAAAACCCCACTCAATTCCTTTGTATCTGTGCCTGGGCACAGATACAAAAGCACGAAAATACTCAGATAAGACCACTTATAGAGCATGGCCTCAGATGTTTCAGCAACTATCAAGACAGAAGATTACCTAGCAAAATCAGGAAACAACTGATCAAGTTTCTGGGGGTTGAGATGTTTCACTCCAGTATCTCAGCACTCTCTCAAGTCACTTCTTAGCTCACAGCCAGTGCCTCATGTCCTAACAGTCCTCAAGGGCATTCTCATCATTTCCACTTGTGACCAGGAGAACAGACCACTGCAAAAGGATCTCAGTCTGGCACAATGGCTCAACCTCAGGAATCTCACGGAAGACTTATTCAATAGAGAACAGGCCCAGTTGGAGGTAACAAAAGTCCCACCAGCCTTAGATAATTGCTCACATTTAAACGCCAGTGCTTATCTTAAGAGTACTTTCATAACAAAGACACACTTCAGGTAGGTATATCCACATTGTTCCTGGATGAAAGTCCTCATTTAGTATCTCTGTTTTCACCTTGAATTTTGGAATAGCTTTTGCTAGACTTAGTATCAAGTAAATAAATAAAATCTCCCATCTAAGCCAAACTTCCCTGGATTAAAATATATATATATAGTGTAAAGTAATGTAAACATTTTATCCAGTTCTGCTGAGTTACTTTTTTTGTTGTTGTTTCCCAAAGGAGAAAAAAAAAAAGCTACTTATTTCTTGAGAACAAGATCTTATAAAAAAAGCAAGTCAAGCTCTTAGTCAAACATTTTCATTGGAAGGACAGCAATCTGAGTAGAAATTTATGGCTATGAATGCAGATGACCATAAAAGGCTACTAATATGAAGAATTTCTCACAATAGCAATCTTATTCCCTGTTAAATAGATTATTTTTTAATTGCTACAGAATTCTTATTGTAATCTTAACTCTCAACTCACTGGAAAGGAAACACCCCCTGACTGACTGGGGGGGGAATATCTGTTTTTGGTTACCAAGATCTTTGATTCAGGGTATGTTTCCACTTGCCCAGAAAACACTACCACAGCTAAATGCTTTATGCTGAGCCCTGTGTCAGACTTTCTCAGGCCAGTTCCTGCTTTCTCCTTCACATTTTTGCTTTTCATCCTCAGAAGATTTCAATCAAACCAATTTATCTTCCAGAACACAAAACACAGGAAAAATGCAATGTTTTCCCTATACTAAAGAAGCCTGAACCTTTTCTTTGAAGAATTCAGGTGCTTCACTTGATTTTGGCTCAGGAACTTAATTGAAGACATAAAAGAAAAATTTCTTTCATGGAGATGTCTCCTGCCAAAAAAAAACAGATGTCCCAGTTGCATCTCTTCTGCATTGAGGAAATGCATTTTCCCATTTTCCAGGGCAAATATGTGGTCCAGTTACTATGTGCTCAGTGACAGTCACTTTAAATATTTGAGGCTGGGTACATGTCTCAGTTCCTATCTTGAAGAAATCTAGCTAAACAACTGTGAGAAGTGGTTCCCCTAAACCACTGCTGCTGGTGACCAATCTGATGAGGTCATCGTCTAAGCTGAGCTCCTAGTTCTGTCATTAAAATAGTGTTCAGCATGGAGCCACACAGGAAGCAGTGCTGAGAGTCCCAGCAAGTATGGACACCACAAATGTGAAGAACTCTCTTCTTTGTCCTGTTTGAATTAAGGATTTGAACTTCCTTAAGAAACTGTCCTGTCCTGAGCACTGTTTATTTGTGCTTTCTGGAATCAAGACAACCACCACATTTCTTGCTGAAGAAGATTTCCTGTTAGATAGATTAATTAAACATTTTACCATACACAATATGAGGAGATCTCTACCATACATAATCATGTAGCTCAGCTGGGAAATCTGGAGTATCCAATTCCAGCTGCAGCAGGTGACAATTCTCTATGTGACAGTGTCTACCTGCCCCAGTAATCAGACATGGATTAGCTGGGATGCAGTTTTCTAGAGGAAAGGCTGCTTCTGCAGGCATTCATAAGTCATTCATAAGTGAGTGCATTTTTAGCTTCTCTCCTCTCAAGGCTGCACTATGGACATCATGGTATGGATTTAGCTGAGAGATCTTCTCCAGAAAGATCATAAAAGAAGTTTTCAGCATAGTGGTACACAGCCATGTACATCACTATTTGCTGTAATGCTCTGAGCAATTTATTTTCTCAGAACAGTAAACATGGGAAGCAAGACATTTAGCTCATTCATAGATGCTATCAATAACACCATGATTTCAAATACTGGTCCTGATGGGAACTGCCTCTCTCCTGAGCAGCAGGGTTTGCAGAGATGCTGCTGGACTCCCAAAGGGTGGGACAATGACAGGGGGTGGTGGGTCCTTTGAAAGGGGTAGAAGGTTGTCATGATCTGTGACAAAAGGACCTGAGAGCTCCTTTTAGAGCAAGTTCCCATGTGCACCCTGGAGGTGGAGAGTCATACATTTTTATCAGGCAACTGGGAAAACTTTCAAGCATATGTACTTTCTGCTTCTCGTTCTATGAAGCCAGATGGGAATTTTAAAATTACATAGAATGAAAATTCTCTAGAATAACTCTCAATTGGCCTATTCCAGGAAGAATTGATGGGTTAAAAAGGATTAATTTTATTCTGTTGAATGATTGGATTAAAGAGACTGTCTTTACTAAAGTCCCTGAAGGATACTAAAGGGGATAGAATGAGTAATAGCTGGATGAAAACTTCCCAAATACAAGTGCGTGGTTTAAGCCACAAAAGAAGGGTGTATTAATGAAAAAATAAATTCAGCAATAGCTATCAGAATGACACAGAAAATAAATAAATAGGTCAGTTTCAGCTAGCAACTAGCTAGGTTTAT